TAAGAGTTACATTTTCTTTCTTTTTATTTGTCAGATGTAGAGCAGGAAACTAGGCACTAACCTTGAACTGTGATCAGGACTATTGCTTTACCACTTTGAGCCACAGCTCCGCTTCTGGTTTCCTGGTGGTTAATTGGAGATAAGGGTCTCATGGACTTTGCTACCCAGGCTGGCTTTGAGCCACGATTCTCAGATCTCCACTTCCTAAGTAGCAAGGATTACAGCCTGAGCCACCAGCACTTGACATCTTAAGAGCAAAGTATTTCATGAGAGGTACATATGGTAGCCATATTTGAAAATACCTAGTCAACTCACCTGTCCTATTTAGACATTTGTGGATTTATAATTATATTTGTTTCATAAGTTTTTAATAAAGTAACAAGCCCCATTTTTGTTATGGATTTGACAAATCAGAAGGAATAAGATGCTACAACACTAAGTCTTCTTAATGGTCCACAGCATGAATTGTGAACACAGAATTCTTTGGGTGCTCTTTTGTTCTTTCAGATAAAAAACTAAGGAAGTATTAGGTAGTAGCAGCAGCTGTTATGTTTGAAATTTTCTGAAACTCTGGTTTTAGTTCATCCAATTTTTCTTTCTCAGTCTCAAGTTAGAAGCCAAGATGCACATAAGCCAAAGGAAGACATGTCACTTGTATTTTTTTCCAACCAAAAGAAAGCAATGGCAGGATATGATGCTCTCAAACTATGGAAAGAGGACAAAACAATTAAACAATTATACAGTGGTTCTATACATATTAAAAAGACCAAAGCCTTCTGCCTGTTGCATGTGTTTTGAGAATTTAAAACCTCCTCTGTATAACATTGTATGGGGAAATTCAACCAACTTGTCACATGCTGGTTTGCATTTAACTCATTACAATGTTGATTGCTAAGAACACTTGCACAACCAAGAAGATATCTGAACTTTTTCACTAGTCATATGAAATCTAAACCAAGGGCTTGAGTTGGGGCGATACCAAACAGATGTTAAATCCCAGATAGTTTTTGCAATTTAGAAGATAAAATTGCCACTCAGCCTTCAGCAAGAGTTTTGATTTTCAGAACAGCCACCAGGATCCACAAAACAATAAGGACAATAGTGAGGTTTCGAGTTTGGAGACATTTCCCATTACACTTGAAATGCCAACTGAGTTCACCCTCTGCTTCTCCTTTGTGTCAAGGGGAAAATCACCCTGTGACCTTATGATGCTTATTTCATGGGCATAAAGTTACTTGAAGATCAGTGATAAATATAATTGCCACAAGCCTTGTGAACTATGTATAAAAAAATAAAAATAGCTTTGGAGAACTATGATCTCTGAGATGGATATATTATCAGTTTGGAAGAAAAGTTTGGCTCTTGTCTTGTGATTCATTTATTTAGAAACAAAATCTGACAAATGATAAAAAACAAGGTTGGCCATGTGCCTGCTTTTTTTTCTTAATTTTTTCTTCATTTTCTTTGAATGCTTCTGATTTTTTTTTTTAAAAAAAGCAAAGAAAGGAAAGAAAGGCAGGAAGCCAGGAAGGAGGGGAAAAGAAATGAAAGAAAAATGTACAAATAAGACCCCACAGAGTTGTAAGTTTGACCTATAACCACTTGTAGTCTGAATGTACTTTGAACTCTGAATTAATAAGGCTTTTCCCCCCTGATTTTCCACTAATCCCTCTCCTTGGCTGGGTATTTACAAATAGACTTCCATCCTTGAGAGCCAATGACAAGCAAGAGAGAAACTGGTTTACAGCAGACGTCTCTGCCTCACAGGAGCCCGGGTGTCATTCAAACAAAGTGAAATGAATGTCTAAGGAAGGGGGAAATGTGAAGACTGGCTTGAGCAGTAAGGGGAAGCATCATTTCCTGTGTCCACACCTATGTCCTTGTTGGCTGACACTGCCTGGCATGAAGGCTTTGCCTCCCCATGTCCACCAGTTGAAACCTATGTTCCTACCTCCTTCTCCTTCTCTTTGGCTTTTCTCCCTCCCCACCCCTCTCCCCCCAAGGACATGGAGAGGCTTGAACGGAAAACTGGAAGATATGTCTATGTCTTATAGATAATTCATTCTCTTTTCCTAACAATGGCATGCTAGTTCTTGGGCAAATTTTGGACAATATACATGTTATTTTTTCTAGCCTCTTCTTTCAACATTTAGTCCATAAGATACAAATCCAAACTCACAATGGGGCTAAACTGATGGTCACCATGAAGGAACCAGATGGTAGGGAGCGATGAGGGTTGGGTGTGTGGGGAAGGCCAGGCACATGCCACTGTGGTTTACAATTCCTGAGCGTCTCTCCCCTGCCCTGCAACATGTCATATGTGAAGGGTGCCCCCTAGTGTGGAGGCCCTCTACGTACCCCATGTGCTCATCATTCATTCACAACACACATCCTCAAGGAGCTGAGCTTCGCAGAGGCCAATAGAAACCACAAGGACAAATTGGACAAATATCATTGGTCACACAAAGCCTAAAGTCCTCTTCCGTCATCACTTAAAAAAAAAAAGTAGAAAGCACACTGCCAACCAAACAACACATCCATAAGCAGAATGGAACCCACGTGGGCCCAGCAATGAATAACTTCTGCTCTAATCTTTTAAATTATGTCTGGAGCATTTAGCCCCAGGACCAAAATACCACAATGGACAGACCACAGTTTGCATCCATTGCTTGGGTGGTGCTTAATCTGAGCAATACATACAGGGAAAACACAGCCAATATACATACATATATATATGTGTGTATGTATGTATATATATGTATATATGTATGTGTATATATGTGTGTATACATTACACACATACCATATATACACACATATATATGCATATGTATATGTGCGTATATACATATGCATATATATACATATGTATATGTGTGCATATATATGTATATATACATATTTATGTGTGTGTATATATATGGTGTGTGTATATATATATATATATATATATATATATATAGTGTGTGTGTGTGTGTGTGTGTGTGTGTGTGTGAATTGTGGTGCCTGAACTCTGGGCCTGGGCACTGTCCCTCAGCTGTTCAGCTCAAGGCTAGTGCTATATCACTTGAGCCACAGCACCACTCTGGCCTTTTCTGTTTATGTGGTGCTGAGGAATCAAACCCAGGGCCTCATGCAGGCAATGCCAAGCACTCTACCACTGAGCCTCCTTCCCAGCTTCCAGCCAATACATTTTTGACAGCAATTTTATACCTCGCTTCCTGTTTCTGGACTTGCCACTCCTTTCAAGAAATCATAATTCTTAGGGGCAAACTGTTAGATAAGAGAGGAAGGAAAACTAGGGTGAGGTGAATGGGACACAGTATTATCTATCTAAATAACTGTCTTAACAGCCTAAGCTCTGAGAGAGGTAAGTCATTGAGATCAAAGTATCATTTAATCCAATACAGAGTTTGTGTCTAACCACTTAAGACATTTTGGGGGGTTTGCTCTTAGAGGTTATGCTAACAGAAGAAGAGCAAGTGCTGAACATACAGCCTGTCCTACTAATAATGTATTTCTTAGATCTAATGCCACATAAAATTCCAGTGACTAAGCTCTGTCTGTGTCTTGAGGATTTTTTTTAAATATTGGAAGCTTCAATAAGACTGAAAACTTATATTAAGTTTCTGCATGAAGCTGTCAAGAAATGTGGTGTTGATACTCAAGAGAGTTAACAAAAAGTTTTCCACCACACATTGGATTTTCTTAAAAAGATTATAGCTTAAAAGTATTTCTAGGTCACAGACCTGATAAGGAGATATATAGATGGGTGCAAAGGCTACATGTAAACATTTCTATCTTCTTAAAAATGGAGCAAAGACCATCTGTGATTATTCACTCTTCCTCTTTTCTACCTGCCTGCCTAGAGCCTTTTTCTCGGAAACTCCTGATTAAGTTAATAAAAATGATAATCAGAGGAGAGAGTATTATCATATTAATCAACACATTATATTAAATTACTTTCTCCAAAGTTTGGAAGCAGTTCCTGAAAGCTGTCAAAGGTATTAATTTTTTCTCTCCCTCCCTCTTTCCCTCCCTTCATCCCTCCCTCCCTCTCTCTCTTTAAATCACAAAACAAAATTCCACTGTCTCTCCCCAACCCCTTCTGAAAAAAAAAAAGTTGTTGAGTTTTGCTTTTCTATTCACTGCAGTCCTGGCCAAAGTAAAGCCCTCTTTCTCAATGACGTCAAGATCTTTAGCAAGATTAGGCTTTCATTTCTCTATTGCAGCAATTAGCCAGGGAATGTATAAAAGACTTCGGGGAGACTCACTGGGCTGCAGAGAGAGGCACTTTGTACCACAGACAGATAGCAGGAAGGAAAAGCTGGAGGGAGGGAGGAAAAGGAGTCAGTCGCTCCTGGAGAAGGGAGACGGGAGCCCGTCTGGTCTGGGAGAGCTGAAAGTGTTTCAAACGGAGTACAGAAAGAGAGGGAGAGAGCTACCCTTAAAGCACATTTTTAAAAAAAAAAGAAAGGAAAAAAAAACAAAAAGCAACAACAAAACTCTGGCAATTCAAGGAAGAAACAGGGCTGCATTTAAAGAGAGACAATGAAGAGCTAAAGAAAAAACAAATTTGCCATCTGCGCCTGAGTCTCATAGGTGTTTGGAAATGAAAGTCTCTAACGGACTCTGACAGGGGTAACTGGATTAGGGACTGGCTCGCCAGCTTTTTTTTTTTTTAACATCTTAAATCCTGAAAAAAAAAAAAAAAGCAGCAGCTCCGAATTGAATGAATTGATGGGCACACTCCAACTGCTGGGCTGCAGAGACTGAACTTGGTCTTGCCATTTCTACTTCTTTGAAAGAGGAGACAACTTGGGCTTCCTTTTAATTTAGTTTTTTTTTCCTTCTTCTTCTCCTCTCCCCCCCTCCCCTCCCCCTCCCCCTCACCTTCCTCCTCCTTCCCCCCTACCCCCCTCTCCCACCATACTCCTTTTAAATAAGAGGGCGAAGGGGAAACCAGAGCACACAAGGGGACTGACTCAAGAGGCAAGAAGATGGGTATCCTCAGCGTAGACTTGCTGATCACACTCCAAATTCTGCCAGTATTTTTCTCCAACTGCCTCTTCCTGGCGCTCTATGACTCGGTCATTCTGCTCAAGCACGTGGTGCTGCTCTTGAGCTGCTCCAAGGCCGCTCGCAGGGAGTCGCGTCGCATGCTGACCTCAGAGGGACTGCGGTGCGTCTGGAAGAGCTTCCTTCTGGATGCCTACAAACAGGTGAGCTACGCCCCCTGTCTGGGTCCAGGGACCAGGGATTCCAAGATTGGGGATTAGAGGGCGTGGCGTGGGGGGGTGGGGAGGGGGAACATTGAGATGAGAGCTGGGGGCATGCCTAGTGGTGTGTCTGTGCATTTACACCTGTCACTTAGGTTAGACGTGGAGGGAGAGATAGGAATGGATCTGTAATAACTGGATTACCTAACCAAGAGTCTTTTGACTAAGGATTGCTATTGACCTTGTGATTATGTATTTATTCGAGTAGAGGGTATGATGCCTGGAAAATAATTTGGGGCAAAATCAGAAAAAAAATGTTGGAGATGAGAGGAGGGGAGAATGGTGGGTTTGTTCTACTCTTGGCATCAGCTGAAATTATGATGCTTTTCTGGATGGGAGGTTAGTGAGGTGTCCTAGGAAAGATAAGTCTAGCACTTTCTCTTTTCTTCTTTGAAAATGTCAGCGTCACCAACAAAATGGTGATGGCACCATAGCCACTGTGTTTCTGGAGGTGAAGGGTTCAAGGAAAGCAAACCTTATGAGCCCTTGTAGGGGGTTGGGGGAGGGTTCCTCATGACTACTTATTCATTTGCAAAGGAAGCTGTGAGTCCTGGCTGTCAGAGATGCACTCTGTGTAAGGAAAACCAGATCTACACACCTACTTTCTCAAAAGTGAAAACAAGTTGTCTTAGAAAAAAGCAGATGGGTTTTGTGGGTTCATTTCAGTCTCATGCTTTGAAAGCATAGGAGCAGTGGTCTCCATTTCCTGTGGAGACCTGCACCCCCATACTGTTGGAAAGCCTCATTGAGTGATCTTTGCTTCTGAGAGAAAGAAATTCTGGTGTTTCCAACTTTTATGCTCCCGAGAGACTGGTGGAGCATTTTCAAGTGAGATCTTAAGGGGAAAGGGGGAACATTTTGGCCCTGTCCTGTGTCAATTTGTTCCTTACTCTTTACTCCCTGTGTGACTCCTGAAGACTCCCTGGGGTTAGAAAGAATGAACTCATGTGGCCGAAGTTGGTAGTGAAGGAACCAGTATTGGTTCTCCTGGCAGTGTTTGGGAGCCCTTGCTCAGGATGTCAGGGAAGGAGGTTTGAGAGGAATATTGAAGCCAGGTGTTCAATGAAGTAGTACAATTTAGGCAGGCAGAACTTCAGAAATACTGATGGAAACTCAGAATACTACAAGGGGAAGGAAATGAGTCCTCCATAAATAAAGACTAGAAAAATAAAACTTGGTACCAGTTAAAGTGAAAGAATGCAAGAATCCAAGGCAGAATTGTTCCACTGAAATCCAGTGTCCAGAAAGTGAATGTCTATGATGCACTGGAGACATTTTTACTATAATACATGCTGTGATTATTGAGAGGAACCTGAAAAAGAGCTGTTTTTATTAATCTAAAGGCATGTGAATAGTCAGACCTCTTATTAGGGAGTGGGAATCTCTTCATGAGAGTATGAATGAAAGCTTGGAGTCTAAATATGCAAATTCACACTTACCAGGTGTGTAGAGGCAAGTGGGAAGAATGAGCAAGGAGATACTAAAATATTCATTCTCTCATTCCATTCTTGCAAAACTGTAAATGAATGTGAGATTTTTAGGTTTTCTTTAGGGGTTGGAAATTTGAAGGGGAACAGCACATATAAAAAGTATTATTCATCAGTACTTTTTTCACCATATCTCTATTTCATGTTTTAGATAACTAGAAATATCAGTGCTTTGATCTCAATATAGTAAACTCTTAGTTTTTGTGAAAGATAACTGACTTCTGCTTTTGATATGTTTTTGATCTTTTTTTCTTTTTGTTTTTGCCAGTCCTGGGGCTTCAACTGGGTTCTGTCCCATGCTTCTTTAGCTCAAGGCTAGCACTCAATCACGAGAGCCACAGCACCACTTCTGGCTTTCTCTGTTTGGTTTATTGGAGATAAGAGTCTCATGGACTTTCCTAGCTCGGCTGGCTTCCAATCACAAATCACGATCCTTAGATCTCAGCCTCCTGAGTAGCTAGGATTACAGGAGTGAACCACCAGCTCCCAGCTAATTACAACTTTAAAAAAATCGATTTGTAGAAAATTGTATATGCATCTATATCTAATACAAGTATCATCTTTTACATTGACTATGATGACTGAAATGTTATCCACAAATATTACATGAGATGTCTTTCCCATTAAGCAGCCTATTGAGACTGAGATGGAAAAACAAACAAATGGCTCGATAATAAACTTTTTCTTTAATATATACTGCCCCATTGTGTTGTAATAGGTTGTTACTCATATTCCAGGAATTTGAGGAGGATGAGTGATTTGTTTTTTCTTTTGGTATATTGTCTGTATATTCTTTGTCTCTGAACATTGATCTGATTAGTGACCAAGTTCATGATGGATGTTATTATAATGATTTATTCAATACCTGTCATGTGCGGGAGCAACCCCAGGAACTTTATATTTAGAGACAAGACTGAACTGGGCGTGTAATGAATGGAAACCTTGTGAATACAGCTTGGTCTAAATGTTGGTACCTTTTTTTTTTTTTTTGTCCTCAAGTATGGCTAGGGTAATCGTTGCTGTGGTGGCATTTGAGAGTGACTTCAAACCTCTTCAACAGGTTGAATCATGTCACCAAATGCTGATGTCATCTGTGCCACTGTCTTTGGGTGTGGCCATTTCGAGAGACACTGAAGGAGTCTCTGTCTGAGATGGCATCACAGGATTTCATAATCTTGACTACATTATGTAGAAGCAGAGTTTTCCGAGATGCGATTTCCACACGTGATACAATTAGACATGTCATTTCTTCTTCTTTATCCTGCTGGTTGTTGACTGTCAGTGACTGGAAAGATATTGGAAGACAGTGGGATAAATGTGTGTATCCTATGCTGATAACAAAGGCGAGATCTCTCTCTCTCTCTCTCTCACACACACACACACACACACACAAATAAGAAAGAAAATGCTCTTTTCATTAAAATGGTGTGAGGGATTCAAAATGAACTTTATGGAGAAGCTTTCCAGGATCACGGGTGTTTGGTAAGTGGTTGGGGTTCTCTGTACACTATTGATTGAAAAGAGCCTATAGAAACTCATGAGAGAGCTGAGGTAAATAACAGAGGTGAGTTATTCAAGTTTCTAAAGTCACTGTCACTTCTGAACACTGTATCCTTGTGCTGGTGCTTGAAGACTCAAAATTCACCCAATAAGCAAACTGTCCTGTCTGGCTCTTACCTAAATGAAGTGTAAAAGTAAATACACCGTATAGAAGCTGACAAGCAGTTTAGTTTCTGCACGGTTAATATTGCAGTGGCACAGAAAACATATTCATTTGAACATATAATTTGGGTTTTGAAAGGGTCTCTTTAACCTTCTCCTCCCCCTCTTCATTCACCTCCAGCCTTTTGACATAGGATTGTACAATGGAAAATGGCTCTTTTAAGAGAGAAACAGTCCCCAGATTATGCAAAGAAGGCCACAGCCAGGGCTTGTCCATGACTTGGGCAAAGCATTGGGAATGATAGGTCTTGGGGTTGTATTTTCCAGGGTATTGCAAATAGGGAACTGAATCTGCTTAATGCTTGTTTGGCCATGTTTCTAAGGACATTGATGTAGCCTGGTCATTATGTCAAGAAAATGGACACTTTCTGAGAGTTAATAAAGCCATTTCACTGGCTTAGGACAGCAAGAACTGTATGTAAGTACTCTGCTAAACAGCCTCACCCCCATTTTTTTTATCATTCGCTTTACCATTTATCATGAGATGATATGATTTTTTTAAAAAAATCAGAGTCCCTTTTCATGCTATGAAAAAAAAGGTTAGTAGCATATGCTCTATTTCCATATTTCTATATTTGATGAATGGCTCTTTTATTTCCTGGCCTCAAACAATCAACATGCTATAAAATAGGATTATCGCTTATCCCTATGCATTAAACGTGGCTAGGGGAAGATATCATCAAGGAGATGCTATGTATTACAAACACGTCCATTGCAACCTTTAAACTTGGCTCAGAGATGTCGTGTTGTAAACATGCAAATGGTTCATTCACTTCCATTGTTGGTGTTGTGTCCGTGTTGATTACAAAAGCACCAGAGAAGATTACGGTAATAGCGCAGAAGAGGGAGAGAAAAGTCAGTGATGACGTTATCACGTCTTACGTATGTCCTTTCTGATCCTTGCAAAAATAAAGAGACCCTTTGGGAACATCGGAACTTCAAGACCAATTAGTGGAAACGATGCTCCTTGTGTTTGGGCATTAAATACCGGGCAGGGTTCTCTTTAGAGCGGCTAATGCTGGCAAAGAAAGAGGTACCGACCTAATTACTCTTCCGCAAGAGTAAAAAAAAAATGCCTTTTGAATGCCTCTTTGGCAAATATGTCTCATTAAGGACAAAAACCGAACACAAACCCTCTAAGAAGGAGAAATTAAGATGATAGGTAACTTGTGGCCAGGAGACTTTCTGTGCCACTGTGGGAAATTAAAACAAAGTTTGGGAGTACCAGGGGATAACTTGTTTTTGTTGAGCTTCTTTTCCTGCCGACAAAATGTTATTATGGGACCAACTTTATTTTCTTCATCACTTTGGCTCTGTGTCAAGGAATGCTTTGCTTCTGGGAGAGCAAAGAATCTTCCATGGTGATTCTCCCATTCCATCGTAGCAAGGCTGCTAACCAAGCAAAACCAGGAAACTCCACTTGGAATTCTGATAGAGCTCCGCACCGGTGGCTCACGCCTGTAATCCTAGCGACTCAGGGGGCTGGGATGGGAGGATCACAGTTTGAAGCCAGCCTTATGTCCCAACTCCTATGTCCAATTAATCAGCAGAAAGCCTGTAGAGGAGGTCTGGCTCAAGTGGTAGAGCATCAGACTTGAAGGAAAGAGCTAAAGGGTAGGGCTCTGGTTCTCAGTTGAAACCTGAGTACCTGCACCAAGAAAAAAGCAATCTGATCTAATAGAGATTGGTGATCAAACAAATGAGTAGGAACAGTAATGTCGTTAAAAGATGCATCCCAAGTGTCTTTTTCTTTATTTTAGCTAACATATCCTCCACTAGGTTTTAGTAAAGATGGACAAACTCATGATTATTATAGGATAGTTATAAAAGTAAGACTACTGGCCTGCTCATTGGAATTTATAGACCAAAGATGTATGTTTTTCTTTCATTTTATTAATAGAATTTACTATTCATTTTATTTTATCTTGTTCTCTTTATTCATAAAGGTATCTGTTATTGACATTCTAGTGTACACGAAGGTCCTAGAGTTTCTCTACAAAGAGGATTGACATATTTGTTTGCTGATCAAGTTACATACCCAAAAAGAGATGATTGGTCAAATGCCTGTAGTTCCTGTCTGTAATCCTAGGTAATTGGGAGCCTGAGATCCAGAGGATTGCAGTTCAAAGCTAGTTTGGGATAGAAAAGTCTTCAAGACTCCATTTCCAAAATAACCAGCAAAAAGCTAGGCTGGAGATTTGGCTCAAGTGGACAGTGCAAGCCAAAGCAAGCACAAAGCACTGAGTTCAAACTCTAGTGTTACTAAAAAAAAACAGCAAAAACAAAACCAGCAAACAAAAACCCACCCAAACCAGCCAATCAACACTGGGTGTTGATTATGGCTGTCTGTTTCAGGAGATACCAGGATGCATATTTCTGAATGTTCTGGCTTAGATTGCTCATCCATCACCTCAGTATGATTTTCACTTCAAGTCAAGGTGACTGTTCAGTATAAGGCACTTTATTAACCTGGAATACAAGCATTTGTTCAGTAACTCATTCAGCACTTTCTTTCTTTCTTCCTTCCTTCCTTCCTTCTGTCAGTCATAAGGCTTGAACTCTGGGTCTGAGCACTGTCCCTCAGCTCTTCAGCTTATAGCTAGCGCTCTACCACTTGAGCCACAGCACCACTTCTGGTTTTCTGGTGGTTTATTGGAGAGAAGAGTCTCACAGACTTTCTTGCCTGGGCTGGCTTTGAACCACGATCCTCATATCTCAGCCTCCTGAGTAGCTAGGATTGTAAGCCTGAGCCACTGGCTCCCGGCTCTGCATACGTTCTTTTAATGTATTTCTTAGACTTAAGAAATGTTACTCTGCATTTAGGAGCATTGCATAACTGATAACTTTCTTATTTTTTTTCATCTTGGAGTGATAAATTTTCTAAGAATCAGTCCATGTTTTAGGAAGAGCTATATGTTGTCTTTAACAGGGAAATGCTTTTTACTTTCTAAGAAAATTAACTGCAGGTAACAGGAGCTTACTTGAGACTGAAACATCAGGGTGGGTAACTTAGGTAAATAGTCAAAAATAACACAAGGATCAACCAGTGTGCCTGGGTGAGGGTCAGAGGGTCTGATGCCCATTTATCACAGCCACACCATTGTGCAAGGCTCTTGACAGTGACTCCAAAACCGGTCTGCAATGAAGAGGTTATTTTTCTCATGTGTGTGGGCTTGCTTGCTTAACAGGACGTCTCTGTCAATACTGTTCTGACAGCATTTTTCTTATCACACTGTATGGAGGGACATAGAACATACAATATTGTCAAAACAAACAAACCAACCAACCAACAATGATCCTAGAATTGTGAGTACTTTGTAGGAAAGATCTAATGGAAAGGTGATAGCAATATTATAAACTACTTAAATCTACAAAGCAGTATCAAGAGGACCCATGCTTTACTAGATTTATAATGTCTTTACAGTGCCCATCTTTAAGTGGGAAGAAGGGTACTTTAGTACCTCAAAAACAAATGTAAATTGCGTGAAATAACACAGTTAAAAGTGGCTTAGATTAGACTGGTCCATCTAACATCACTTGCAAATTAGCCAAGAAATTTAATAGAAATCAATAACTATCTCCCTGATGGTAACTGAAATTGTACTTATTTAAATTACATCAACAACTGCCTTTTCTAAGAAGAAAGAATATCCTATTAATGGTACTTGTTTCAACTGCTCCCCACCCTCCGCTATTTCTACAATTTTTGAGAGGGAAAAAAATAGAACTTAGATTCTTTCTCCATGTTAAAGTGAGTTATGCATTATCATTAGATGGAAGCTTTTAAAGAAAAGTCTTTGATTGTGCTCTATCAGTTGGGATTGTGGCTTCATTAGCAATTCATTTCTAAGTGGCTCCAGTTAACAGCAGCAGTGTTATATATGGCTGCAATATACAAAGGAAATAAGTTGATCCAGTTGGAAGTGTTTTGTAATATTAAGCATAGTGTATAAAAATCAATTGCATGTTCATAAACTATCCCTATTGTTATTGGCTTTGAGTAAACCATTGTAGGAAGAGATCCAATTGTGTTAATTCAAACTGAAGTAGTTGGCTCTTTTATGGCGCCTGTTTTTTTTATTAACAATTTACAAATCCAAAGACCACCAACTTCCTTCCATTATCCTGGGTTCCACTATTTACACCATGTGCAAAGGGGCCACATGGAGCAATTTTATCTCCATCGTTTCTAATACCTTTCTTTACAAAATCACTCAGAAGTTCTTGTAGGTAAATTATCTGGTAGGAGAGTATATGGTTTGTTACTTCCTAGATAGAAGGAGAAAAACCAAACACACAGAAAGGACACATACAATAGAGATGATGAAAAGTTAGCTAAAAGTAGGATTCTGGAATAATTGTATTTTTGTTCATTTTTTTAAAGTAGGCATTGTAAGTTTCAAGATATAAGAACTATAATAAAATTAGTAGCAGCGGAAACCTCCAGGGAGGGTCCCATATTGAGGCAAATCCAAATCTCTTCTCAGGCAATTTCTTGATTCCAATCACAGAATTTCCCAGGAAAAATAGTACTGTGCTTCACATAGTGCAGTGGCTATCTGATAATGAAAACATATGACTTGTAGCTGAAAACTTTTCCTTATGTAAGCCTCCCATAACCAAATAAAGAGAAGTCAAGCATTATCACCATTTCAAGGAAGAGAGAGACTCCCGAGTAGGGTAAGTGAAATAACCTTGCTTATGAATGCTGGATTCTAGTTGTTTAGACCTCTTGTCCAGGAATAGTGCAGTGGGACTACTGTCTATTTGTGGAGATGAAAAATAATTTAGCATGGTACGTGACAGTTCTGCTTCTGCCTGGGTATTTTAGGATTGGAAAAGAGGCAATCTGTCCCAAGACTCTGATAATTTGTCTTAAAGTAGACCATTTGCTTCTAACTTTTAAAATGAAGCCAATTAATCATGTGTTATAAAAGTCTTGCTAGGTATTGACAGCAAAGCAAGGATAGTGTAAAATTTACCAGCCTCCACTTAATTATGGAAAGAGTTGGCTCCAGTGCTTTTGACGACAAAAAGCAATTACCTTTGATGACTGTCTGTCCAGGAGAGAGAGAGAGAGAGAGAGAGAGGAGAGAGAGAGAGAGAGAGAGAGAGAGAGAGAGAGTTTGATTCTCTTTTGGCCATTCTTTATTTTACCTGCCATGATACCTTTTGACTCAAATTAATACATTTGCCAGCTCCTTTGAAGGAAGAGCCAATTGGTGTCTAAGGCATTATTCTCTTTCCTTGTGTTGTGTGTGTGTGTGTAATTCTTTTTCTTTGTCACCATCAGGTGAAACTGGGTGAAGATGCCCCCAATTCCAGCGTGGTGCACGTGTCTAACCCTGAAGGAGGTGAAAGTGGTACCCAGGAAAAGACACCTGATGGGGCTGAGTGCCATCTTCTTGACTTTGCTCATGCCGATCGCCCACTAGTGGTCAACTTCGGATCCGCCACTTGACCGCCCTTCACCAGCCAGCTGCCAGCCTTCCGCAAACTGGTGGAAGAGTTCTCCTCGGTGGCTGACTTCCTGCTAGTCTACATCGACGAGGCCCACCCTTCCGATGGATGGGCGGTGCCCGGGGACTCCTCTTTGTCTTTTGAGGTGAAGAAACATCGGAACTTGCAAGATCGATGCGCAGCAGCCCACCAGCTTCTGGAGCGTTTCTCCTTGCCGCCCCAGTGTCGAGTTGTGGCTGACCGTATGGACAATAACGCCAACGTAGCTTATGGGGTAGCCTTTGAACGCGTGTGCATTGTGCAGAGACAAAAAATTGCTTATCTAGGAGGAAAGGGCCCATTCTGCTACAACCTTCAAGAAGTCCGGCGTTGGCTAGAGAAGAATTTCAGCAAGAGATGAATTCTAGATTAGCTGGTTCAAGGTATGATTGTAATAGAATTTTTTTTCCAAAACAAAATATGTAAAGGAAAGGAAACTGAGAACGGCATCCGCTATTTCAACTGAGTCCGATTGCCTTACACAAAGGCAGGAATTTACCTGTCAGAAGAACATAGACCTCTAACATCTCAATACTTGGTTCCCTGATTAGTAGTCCTTTACCTCTCTTCTTAGTGAAAAGCCCTGAGTGAAAAGATCCAAGTTGGATCTGAGTCCATGTGTGTCCATTCTTCCTTGAGAGAGAAGCAACACTGCTCATCTATGCATTGGGACCAGAGGAAGAGTTACCTGAATAATGACTATGTTAGGGAAACTACCATTCCTGTTATGATTAAGTGTATTGCCTTAAGAGTTTAGACAGCATGGATAGATCCCAACTGGAAATTTTCCAGGTACTTAACATAATAAAGCATCCTTGAACCCAGGCCATGTGGTGAGGCCCATGTGGTGTTCAGTATGTTAGAATCTAGTTGTAGAATGCTCTGGGCCAGTCACCATAGCCTAGAATTACCAGGTGTATTTGCACATACCTCAACCTTGAGGGTTGGAATGATCATCTGAAATCTGGCAAATGTAGAAAGAACTAGAAGGAAGTGAAATCAACAAAGTAAGCAAAAAGGGGCAGAAAGATTAGAACATGCCATAGTATTTCACCTTGTAGAACATGAGACTAACACGTTAGCCACAGACACATAGAAACATGCATATAACTGGACAAAGAAAATGCTCAGCTAAAAAATGGTATAGAGAAAAATCCATCTGAAAGCAAGGCATTTGCCACATACTTCTAGATTGAGGAGGAAAAAAGGATGGAAAGGAAAAAAAGTTAGATATTTGTACTAATGATTTTTTTTGTGGGAATACTTTACAAACCACGTATGCCATGTATATATTTTCAGTGAGTGAATTACACCCTATGAAATCTATTAAAGGGAAAACCAGTGAATTTAATGGTGCTGGTCTATACCTCCCCAATTCCTGCAGCTGTCACGTGACTCTGCTCACTGTCGTGGCAATATTTCCTCTCAATGATGAGCTAAAGGGGATGGGAGGCATATACCCTAGATGTTCAGCTACAGCCCTCTTTTCTTCTTAAATTGGTGAACTGAAGTGAATGAGTAACACAAACAAATACCCTTTCTTCTGTTGCGGAATAGAAGAGGCAGATATTTTTTGAGATAAGTCCTACTAATGATGCTGGGGGCTTTGGTAGGAAGTAATACTTAGTTTCAGGGAATGACATTTGAATTTAGACTTAAGACTTCTTTTGATCCCATGTAATCAAGGATTAGCAATCAGTGGTACATGAGTATAATCATATATGTATGTAACTATACATATATATCATGAGTCTCTATTAAAATAAAAGTGATTTAATTTTTCTCATAAGTAATGGCTAAAGATCATCAACCCCCAAAAGAAGAGGTTAGCCAATTTTGCATCACAATTTTTTAAAGTTTGAAGGTATTATCAAATCAGAATATATGATCATATTTAAGGGTCCAAATCCAAAATCTTTACACTCATTCCATTAATAACTGGATCCTAAAACAAAATAGGAAAATACCCTTTAAAATGGAAAGTATCTTTCTAAACTAGTTGTCTGAAATGATATAAAAAAAAAGTGCGAACCGGGTTGCAAGAAAGAAAACAGCAAATAAAAAAAAGCAGGGACAAATCAGTCATCTCACTAGCTGGCATACTGTTCATCTATTATGGCTGTATTATGACTGGTGATTTTCTGACGGCAAAATTTAAGCTTTCCAGTATTTTAAGTTCTGCACATAAAACAAAGAATTGGAAAATTTCAAACATATGATGTTATGTGATTCATTGCTGTAAAGTCATATGGAAAAGAGATTTAGATTCTTTGTTAGTCCTTCCAGTGAGGGTTTATCAGTGCCCATCCCCCCCCAACTGATTTTTATCTTCAAAATAATGTTGAGAAGCCAAATGCAAAATTGGTGGTGCTATGCCCACATCATTGCCCTTACATTTTCCCTTTGTTCTACATGAATGATAATGGAACAGGATGTCAGGAAAGCTGGTGGGGGGAGGAGTTTGGTGTATACTATGCCAGTTGTCTAGGGAAAAGGATAATGGAAAGCCACCTCCTTTTGTTATATTTTTTTTTAAGAAAGAGAAGTTTGTGTGTGTGTGTGTGTGTGTGTGTGAGCGTGCGTGCGTGCGTGCGCGCACATGCGCATATGGAAGTTTCTTCTGAATGAAGTCCACTGGAGGAATGAAGTAGAAATAAACATTCAGAGATGTAAGCTGACTGTCAGGGAGAAAGACAGGTTCATTAGAAAATGAAAGATATGGGAAGAAAAGTTGTTGAAGGGCTAATGGGAAAAGAGAATTGATAAAGCTCAGACCTCCTACATGATGTAGAATGGCTTGATCTTTATCAGGCTATGATAAGCCTGTCATATTGTGGCCTATGTATCCCCACTTAAATTTTTATGATTTCCTGTCGGTATTCTTTTTAGAAAGCTAACAAGAAGTCAGAGAGAAAAGGAAAGTCAGTGCGTAAGCTGATAGTCTCAGAGAGACTATTAACTTACCAAAACCCACCCACCTAGGCTATCTTTCTCAAAGAATGTTTCCTTTGAAGAGCTATAGTTCTAATTCTCACAAGGCTAATATTTAATATGTAAGACTCTGAATTCTTCCTTTTTAGTGCATACACACTCTCCCTATAGTCTGTGTTTACATGAAGCTAACAGTTTAGATTTTAAAGCTGAATTAGCTTGTCTAATATTGAAATTGTTTCCAAGAAATTTTAGATATTATTGTAGCATCTGGATTTACTCAGACATGTAGTGTTTGAGAGATGTCTTGGAACTATTCAAAACTTTATTGCTTTGAGAAAGCATTAGAGGAATGGAAAATGATTTTCTTGAATGGGCATGAATGAAATGCCTGCACAGTTGTGTAGATGCATTTCATACAGCTATTAAAAATGCAAACTGACCTCTAGAGGGGCAAAATAGTCACTGTTTTTGCTTTGTATAGCTGAAGTAACAGCTTCCAAACTCTCTGCATTCACATTTTGGAGGTAGAACAATGGATTCTGTGTCTTCACCTCATTTATGGAACGTGTCCCTGATTCTTTTTTTGGTAATCCTAACATCTAAGTAGTCTATCAATTTATTTGAATACTTCCCACCTCCCCCAATAACCAAGAGATGCTTATCCTTTGATTATTTTGCTTGAGTAGGATTCACTCTTTGGGTTCTTGAATTATAATATAAAGCGTAGTGAGGTCCTGTGTGAGGATTGCCTTGTGCATATAATACCAGATGGGTAGGTGGGAGACAATATTTGTGCCTTAGAAAAATGTCTCAGGTGGTTGCAAGGTATCCTTGGCCTGCTCTCTAGGCTCTGTCTATACCAAGAGAAATTGGTGGTGAATCTATATGGATGCCCACTTTGGAAATCCTAAGCAGATCAACCTGGACACTTGTTTTACCTGACCTCTGACTGATGGTTTGGAAAATAAGTTTAATTAGAATTCCTTGGCCGCCGCAGAGGGGAAAATGTGGGACTCTGATGTCTGCTCCATTAAAAGATGACTGAAAAACCTCTGCAAATGTTTACAGATTTTCAGAACATGTGTAATGTCATGTCTCTCAGCTGCGGAGACTGACAGTGAGTCTTTTAATCCCAATAGTTGTTTTTTTAAAAAAAATATTGTTATTATTAAAACAGTGATACTACCCCAAATCAAACTTCCTCCTTCCCCCTTTGCCTTAAAATGGGAGCCAAACCCTCTGGTTTTAAGTGGCCTTCCAGAATGAGACATGAATGCAAATAGCCACATGGAGGAGGCACTGCCTTAGTCTAGTCCAAGGCTGGGTGAGCTAAGTTGCTAACAAGGAAGGCTTAATCCTTGAAGATTTGGTGAACTAAAGCGGAAAGGATTTGAAGAGAAACTCCTTAGGCTGGAGAAAGGGTGCTGAGTGTCATTGAGTGACTTCAGAATGAGGAAAAACATTGGGCCACTTCCTCCTGCCCTGTGTTTCCAGGTAGCCACTAGACTGGACAGGTCTGAGACTTGACAGACCTCACTCTGTTCCAAGGTGCGTCTGAACCAACAGAAAGCAAACACGTACAGATAAATCCAAACAAGACAGCTCATGCAAGTCAGGGCTTGCTGGCCTGTCTTGGGCAGCAACAACTAGAGCTCCAGGGAGTTTATTTAATATTTGCTGAGACTTTGGAGATCCAGCAGATGTTTAATGAAGTCACTATTTTGGCTCAAACCGCCCTCCCCCCTCCATCTTTAAAAAAAAAAAAAGAAGCAAACAGGTAAACACAAAAATGAAAGAAGCCCACAGAAGGGAGTGGGAAATAAATAAAAATTCTCTCAAGACTGCTTCAGACCAGGGCACTGGTCAGTGTGGTTTTTCTGTGTGTTAGGATTGGGGGATGTGAAGACATAAGTATCCAGTACTTTATAACCAAAGCAATTACAACGATATTGGGTAGGGAATGTTGGCCAGTTTTATTTAGTTTTGCATCACATTATCTCCAGAACTCAGTAGCCCAAGAAATCGGGCACCTGAAGAGGGAATCTGAGATGTGCAGAGTTTACCAGTGTGTGAATGATAACTACTGACGAAAGAGCTACCCACTCAGTTAGTGGTTGGATGTTGCCACATTAGTTTGTCTCTCCCCATCTCAGTATTCCTAGCAAGGAGAATCTTCAGGGACACCATGTGAAGAGTCCTGGGTCAATGTGATGATGAATGTATGTGTGTATATCTCTGCTTCTCAGTGGCAGAAAAAGAAATGCCTTGGAGATTATCAGTAGAAAAGAGTGTTATTATATTGGTGCTGAGTGCTATGTGTGCTTTTACAATGTGTTCTTGTATTTTAATAAACTTTGAATAAAAGAATAGAGGTACTCTTTCATTCTATTTGTTTATTTTTCAATTACTTTCTAGACCATGCCTCGGGCTGGAACACAT